GGTTCCTCCTTAAGAGGGATAGAGTCTAGCAGTTCCTCCTTAAGAGGAATAGAGTCCAGCGGTTCCTCCTTAAACTCCATGTATCTCTCCTCATTGGGATCACCTGAAGATGCTCTTTTCCTTGCCAACAATTCCTTCTCTTGAGTAGACTCTGGCGTTTCTTCCTTGAGTTCTGCCTCTCTCTCCTTACTGCAGTCACCTGGGCTTTCACTCAAACTGGCTTGTTTCCACTCTTCATTTTTTCCCGTTTCTTCCTGTCTAGCCTCTAATTTTCTCAAAATTTCTGCACATGCCCGTTTACATCCCTCTTTAGCTGCTTCTTTCAAAATAGTAAGAAACTGTTCAGCACTCAAATTGCACAACACCACATTCTCGTCTGTCTCCTCCATTGCCGTCTCTCCCTGCATTTTTAACCTCTTTCTCAATTCAGCAGTCAGTTTCAAAAACATAAAGTTCTCCTTCGTTACAAATTGTTCATCAATCCTTTTCTTCTGTTTACATCCTTATTACCAAGACCCAGTCCTCCAAAAATACAAAGGTATTAGAGCTCCAATTCTTCTCCCCTTCAAATAGTAACACAACTTTAAGTCCCTTTATTTTCTCGGTCGTGTCTCACCCATACTGTGGACTTTCCATTTGGGGATTTTACTTATATTTTGACTCACGTTTTCTTCTCGTTTTATGATGCCGTGTTGAATTCCACCTCGTGTTAATTAAAAACAAGTCCGGATGGCTGCAGCTTGTCCGAGCATGGCAGGCGCCATGTTCTTCTCCTCAAACGGTCCCACTTCGGGGCTGTTCCTGGTCACCCCCCCCCGCGTGCCAAAAAATGGGGAGGGCCAGGAAAGACGCCCGATACTCCAGCCCTCTCTACGGGAGGACTGGCCAAGCTCTCCCGATTCTCGGGAGGTTCAGAAAGAGCCGTAGAGGTTCGGGCGGAACGGAGCAAAGCCCCACTCCACCCATACGCTGCACCTTACCGCAACAGAAGGAATCTCCTGCTGCATTCACTTCAGTGAATCCATAGACCTCAAGAACAGCAAATACCACATCATGCTCAAATAACTTTGAGCCATGTTTTCGCTTCAACTAGCATCATCTTTAGATCAGCAACTCTTGGGTTCCAATCCACAATGAATGCTTTACTTGGAGACAGCATATGGCATTTAACACAGCTTAAAAAGGAGTTAGTAGTTTGCATGTGAAGGAAGACTGCTTCGAAAACTGCTATCAAATCATGTACAATATCTTAATACCAGTAGAAAGTAGCTTAGAAAGTCGAAGTCAGTCCCATGGGTACCAAAATATCAGTGTTGATCTATCTCATGTTTTATGGACAGCATTAATTAAGTGGTAGGGACGGGTCAAGATCAGAAAAGGAAACTCCCCAAATCAAAATCACACCCATTAAGAAACATAAGCCAATCATTTTGATGAAGGAGCATGGCCTTAAGGCCAATAATTGGCTGGGGAGCACACACAAAGGGCAGCACAAGAATCAGGGGAAGAAACCAGCTTACTACTTCCACAGAAGTCTACTGCAGAAGGTCTTAAATGTATGGGGGGGGGGAGAGCTGGTAATGTGCATGTGGGCCCTGCCCCCTCACTGCACTTTACTTCCATGTATTTGAGGCCTGGTCTGCAGAAAAGCCTGTGAGTAAATACCCCCAGTGTGTGATGGCTCAAGATGCACACTTCGTACCCTCAAGAACATCCACAAAGCCTATATGCTTTAGGGATAATATGCCCACAGGACCGCCATAAAAGTGATTTCTCCCATGCACACACAAGGCTATCCGCACAGTACTAGAGACAATCAGATGGCGTGCCAGAGTGGTTTAAACTGCTCCAGTTCCAATCGGATTGTATTTGATCCGGGACAAGCGTGGTCACATTACCCGCTCTCGCAGTGCAGCACATCGCTCCCAGGTGTCCACACAGCAGCACGCGTCGGTGGTTTTTTTTTTTTTTTTAATTTTTCACAGTTTGCACATGCACAGAACAAATTATCCCAAAAAGAATGCCCTGAAGCGAAGACTTCCCTTGAAACTTTTACAGCGAAACTGACCTCCATGAGGTTCTGGAATCATCTGAAGCCTAAAACTGGGCACCACTTTTTTATTTGTTTTATTAACACCGGGGCGAAGCTTCGCCCAAGCGCATATTGCTGACACCAAAAAAAAAGGGCGGACGAAAAGTGGAAGCCTTGGGCTTCCAAGTGGAATTGGCTCTACACCGGTGGAGGCACAATCACACGGCAGGAAAATGCGGCTAGAACCGGAGCACCAGGAAAACACCACTTGGGGACCTGGTAGCAGAATACTCTGGTTTAAAGGGTGTTTGAGCCAGTTGGCAACGGCTAGGGATGGGAGGCAGATGTTGGCTGTGTGATCGCGCATAAGTAGTCCATTTCTAACCAGCACCCAATGGGTTAGATCCAGATTAAATTTTCCATCAATGAAATAGGACTTTTCTATCACTGCCCTTCCACTTAGGGTTGCCAGCCCTTGGCTAACAATCCCCAGAAACATTTGAGGAGGCGGAGACTGCTGGGATGTTACTTCCTGTTTCAGAACAGGAAACAATGTTATGACACCCTAAGAGCCATCCTTCCTGAGCTAAGACAAAAATGTGTGAGATAGAGGCTAAAAAACTGAGCTAGCTCACACTAATTCAGCTTAGAGGGAACACTGGTCATAAAGCCTGTTGGGGTAACTCTAACCTTTATTCTCAGCATCACCTTTTGGAATCAACCGGTCAAGTAAGAGCATTAACAAATTAACAATTAAGAAAACTTGGTGCCCCTTACTCCCAGCCTGGCCAACCTCTCTAGGATACCACAGACAATGGTACTGAAAGCTGCTGAGAGGCCAGGAGAATCAATAGGGACACATTTTCCCTGTCACTCTCCCAGTGAAGATCATGAATAAGGGCAACCAAGGCTGTTTGCATCCCAGCACTACACTACATAGGTTTTCCAGTTTTGACTGGAGAGGGTGGAGTTTGGGGAAGGAAGGCAGATCAGCAGAGATGTAATGCCATCAAGGACATCCTGTGAAGCCACCCTTTTCTCCAGGGGAACTGATCTCCTTAGTCTGGAGATCAGTTGTAATTCTGGGCAAACTAATCTCTGACATGTCAGAAATTATATGGTTATTTTTAAATTTTAAATGATGTCACCCGAAGGATTAAATATAGCTCTTGATTTATCTATTCTATCTAGGCAGCCATCTGTTGGATCCCCAAGCATCGAGAATAAATCCACGTTTTCAGGAAAAGCAAAATTTATTTCAAAGCGTTGAAGACATGCTCAAACACGTTCTTTGTTAGAACTGGGGATACCCAGGTAGGGCGAGCATAATAAAGGAAATTCAAACAGATACATATCCAATGAATAACATTCCCGCTGGCGGGCTAATGAAACGGTTGCGCGCCCAGTCCATGGGAACCAGGCAGAACATCCGACAAACACAGGTGCAGTTCTCATGAGATAA